GTTTCAAAATTCACACCCTTGAGAAGAAATTAAAAAAAAAACACAGTCTCCATTTCATAAAAAACCATTTAATCACTGTCAATTATATATTTATATATATAAATAAACAAATTTTGTAAAATTAATACAGAGATCTCAGGTACTTTTTATAAATAATTAAATGTACGTTATAGTTTAGATTTGAAGCTCTGCAAGTATTTAAATTAAAATATAATTTAATTTAAATAATCTTTAATCTTTAAATTTAATTCAAAATAATCTTTTCGTCTTGTCAGAAAACGTTCCGCATTTTGAAACAATCCTATCAGGTTTTGCGTTTATCCTATCGTGAAGATCGTTTATCAGGTCTATCGTGTTTTGCGTTTATCGTGTTTTGCGTGTATCGTGTTTTGCGTTTATCGTGTTTTGCGTTTATCCTATCGTGCGTGTATCCTGTCCTATCGTGCGTGTATCCTATCGTTATCCTATCGTATCATCCTATCGTATCGTGTATCCTGTAAAGAATAACGATGCGGGTACTGTTTTCGGGTTTTGTGACAGATGGACAGATAGACATGCGAATAATGTGTTTAAATGTTATGTGGGGGGTAAAAAAACATGTATGTAGGGGAAAGTTTCAGAGCAGCAGGGCTAAATTGACTCGGGGGTTAGCATTGCAGCCCATTAGCCTCTTATAACTGACATATCAAGAATTTGTATTAAATGTAAGTACTTACAACGTAATCTTTTTCCTCCCTTTGTTTTAAGTAGAAATCAAGAGAGCTTCAGCCTTGTTAGAGATTCATGGTACTGTACTTATTTTTATGTATTGTTTTTATTAGACAATCCATTTCAGAATTGATAATCGGTGAAATGCGAGACGTTCCAACCAATTAATTATGGTATCATAATACAAAGTTTTTTGACATTTTTATTTTCATCTACAATATGAGGCTCTATTCTTAAGACTAAAAAATTAAGGGATAAGAAACGTTAACATTTATAAAATTCTTTTTTTTTATTTCGAGAGCCATACTTACTTCAAAATAAGCTTAATTTTAAAGATGTGTAAAACCCCATAAAATTTCAACTTTTATACCCAAAGTTCCCATTTTAGAAAATTGTATACAAATCTAAAAATAATTTTTTTTTTCGACTAACCGATTACCATCAGGGATGGGGTCAATTACTTTCAAAAGAAATTGATTATATTACAATTACTTTGGAATTTAAACGTAATTGATTACAAGTTGATTACAACCATTTTTTAAAGTAATCAATTTCATCTGATTACTTTTCCTTTATGTAATCATGATTATTTTACATTACATTATTTTTTTTAAAAAATTGTTTAATTTCGAGGACATTTTCCACTTCTTCTGAAGAACCACTGGTCCAATAGTAATCAAACTTGGTATAGTATCCTTGGGAAAGGGGAATTTAAATTGTTAAAATGAAGGGCAATTCTCTTCACAAGGGGAGATAATCAAGAAAAGACAAAAATAGGGTAGGGTCATTAAAAAAATCCTCTTTTCAAGAACCACAGAGCCAGGAAAGCTGAAAAGTATGTGGAAGCATCTTGGGGTATTGTAGATTTTAAATTCTTCAAATCATGACCCCCTGGTGTTGGGCGGGGCTACAATAGGGAATCAAAGTTTTACCTAAAAATAAATATTAAAAATCTTTTAAAAATCTTCTCAAGAAGCACTGGGCCAGAAAAGCTGAAACTTGTGTTAAAGCATCCTAATGTAGTGTACATTCTAAATTGTTCAAATCATGACCCCGGGGGTAGGGTGGCGCCACAATAGGAAACCAAATTTATACATTAAAATATATAGATTTTTTCTTTAAATCTTCTTCTCGGAAACTACTGGGTCGGAAAAAGTTAAACTTTTGTTTAAACATCCTGGTGTAGTGCAGATTTTAAATTGTCCAAATTATGACCCCTGGGGTAGGGGGGGGGTCACAATACAAAAAAACTTGTTTATAACAAAGTCTCTGGGACCTACGAAATTAGTCCACTATATTCGTAATTCGTTATATCTTATAAGGAATTCGTTAAATTTATATACATGTACATGTAGATGGGGATCCAAGCTAACTTCGCTAAATCCATGAATTCACAATGTCCGTGTTCTAATCGATTTTTACTGTAGGTATTACAAGGGGGCATCTGATAAAGAACAGCATTGTGAAAGCTACTCAGGTGAGCGATGTGGCCCACGGGCCTCATGTTATATTCAATTTAATTTTGCAAGATAAAAATAGTGTAAATTCACATAAATTTAGGGTATTTCATTTGTTCCTCTTTTTATACAAATATATTATAGATTTTGGGATAATGAAAAAGCTGGTTTGATAGAAAATTGTTAATATTATGATAGAAAATTTTTAATTTGATAGAAAATTTTTAACTAAAAAAAATTAAATTTCAAAAAATATTTCCCAAGAAGTCTTCAATTATTCTTTTCGCAAAGACGTCGCGCACACAATTGGGGCTGATTTTGTAACGTCAAAATATACTTTTCTGACGTTATTGCATATGTCGTTTAAGCGTAAAAACGTCAAAAATTCACGGCGTAACAAATCAGACTAGACATTCAATTTTTGCTCCTGTTTTCTTAAAAATGTCTTACTTTTTAATGTTTCTTTAAAAACAAAATTTTATTAATTTGCACATTTTAAAAATAATATTTTATCTGTTAAAAGTTTTCCCAGTAAATAAAGAATACAGCTCACATTGGTGTTATACGCCCGGTTAGATACAAAAATACGCTTATTTGTGTCGTAGTAACAAAACTGACTAGACATCAAAATCGCTCTATTAATCTCCCCTACTGCTTGTTTATAATTTTTTAAAGAAACATTTGACTACTTCTTGATTTGCACATTTCATTTATCAACTTAGTTTTACAAAAAGAACCTGTCATATAGTAAAAAATGTTTATCAAACATTCTATCTTTTCTTGTAACTTGTCAAGATTTCGGCATATTACGGAACGCTTCTTATTTTACGAACAGTCTGAACAGTCCGTAAATTAGAAATTTATTAATGAATGTTATGTGACATCATCACAGGAAGTTATAGAAGCTTGGTACAAATTATCAGAAAAATCCACGTAGCCAAAATGATAAAATGACCAAAAATACTAACACCCGTCGTTTACAGTGTTACAAGTTACGCAATTTCAAACCCCAGTACTACGCGCGACGTCTCAGCACACCAAAACCGTATATTCATTTTGCAATGTTTTCCATAATTATTATATAAATCAATCCAAACTTTGCTGTCACACTGATATCATATAATTTAATTTGAAATGATGAAGATTCAAAATTAATTTCTGCACTTTACTAAATCAAATTGAATGTGGGAAAAAATACAAAGATACATGGAACCCCCTAACTTTCTCTTGGTTGTTGATAATGTTGACATGGGTATACTAGTATCTGTGCTGCCCCTTTTTATGTTGAGTTTTATTGATTGTTCTGTTTTAATTTTAACTATAATAAGCCCCAAATAGTTTTTTTTTTAATTATCAAAGCGCTGAGGCAATGACAGCAATAATCATGCAAGCGCTAAGCAATTTGGAGAGTGTGTATGTAAAGGGGGAGGGCATAACAAGTAAAAAAAAAATACCTAAAACTTCGATAAAGTTTAACATAAGTCGGATAGGGCAGGCATTCTATACACGTATTTTCAACAGAAAAAACATGGAATGGTTCGATCTTACTGCAACAGAAAGTGGATGGGGTGAAGACTGCACTTTAAAACTAAGTTGTTATAATAAATGTGCATGATAACATTGTCAGTAAAAAAAAACCCCGAAATATCAATTTTATCAAGCAGAGAAAGAATTTCTACAAACGATTGATCGAGACACTAAAAAATGTTGTACAGTTTATTTAATTTTCTGTTCACAAAATGCATGCTACATGCATATGAAAACAGCGTTTACTTCTTACTGTTTTTGATATTTTGAGATAATCAATCAAGATTTACATAAAATGACGACTGATATAAATTCAGGTACCGAATTTTAATAAAATACGTTGTAACAGGGAAGGGGGTGGAGGCCAAACAGTTGATATTGTTCACTGAAAGGGCACCTCTAATATATTCAGATCGGCATGGTTATTTATTAACGAAATTTTTTGACAATGTGGGAAAAGTTTGAATCAATAAAATGTTATGTTTCTATTTCAAGAGGTTATAACAATATCGTAATGATAACAATGCAACTTAATCAGCAGATTTTGAATGAAGAAATTAAAGCTTACTTAGCTAGCTGCTTATCGATGTTAAAAATGCAAATTGTATTTTGATTTATTTGATTACATCCTCAATTTTTTGTTGATATTTTCCCCAATTATATAATCGGATGCATAAAAAAAAATCTCATCTTATTGAATAAAAAAGGGGAAAAAAAGAGATAGAAAGAAAAATGGTAATAAAAAATATTTCTTGAGCTAAGTAATCACTGTGTTTAATAATCCTGACCATTTTCTACCTTCTACCATATAATCGGCGTCAAATATAAAGTGAAATTTTGCGCTTTAATGACTGATAAGTAATTCAACAAACCTGTTTGCATAAAGCTTGTTAATGATGGACCTATTTTTTTTTCTGAATTAAAACAATCAATGCAAATTGAATTTTACACTTAGCACATAGATAATTCAAATTGTTTTTTTTTTTAATTTAAAATAAAAACATTAATCATCTCGTGTGTATAAAGCATGATAAACAAAATAAATTAAATATCTAAATTTAAGAAAAAAGACAGATTTATATTAAATGCGCGTGTTTCCTGAAGTTTTTTTTGCATAAGTGAATTAATTCAAACTTAAAACCTAGAAACCAATAAAATGCTCCTGAAAAGTTTTGAAAATAAATTATGTGCACATGTCAAAAAGAAATAGCTAAAAATCCAAAATCCGGGACCGTCCGGAGTCGGGAAGACTAGATTTACCGCTTGCCCTGGGATTCAGCGACTAGGGGACGGTCTAATCGTAGGATGACCCAGTTTTCAGTTGACAGTAAACAATGGATGCTGGTGAAGATCGGTTGTTTCTGGGATTTGATTTTAGCACACAACAAGTAGGTGAATGCATTTTATTATATAGCTGCATTTAAACTGTATGTTACTTGACAAATTATTAGTGTTAAGACAAAAAAAAAATCTTGACCCCGATCTAAATATAAAAAAATACTGTGAGGCGGATCTCATTCGTAACTACTCGGCCATTTTCCGAACGTTCACGGAAATGGCCAAGTAGTTACGAATGAGGCGGATCTAAGAGGAGGTCAAATGGGAAATTCAGTGGCGTATATAACTGTATGCTAATTATGATGATGCTTTTGTATGATTTTAAGAATATATCCACTTTTCAATTAATGACACAAGAAGGTATATTTTCCCTTTTTTACAGATCAAGGCTGAAGCAATAAGTGACTCTCTACAACTTGTAAATGAAACAGCAGTCAAGTTTGACTCGGATCTTCCAGAATTCAAGTAAGTAAAAACTAGAATGTTTATATTGATTAACTTTTTATAAATAAGTATTTTTTTCTCTTCCCTGGTTTGTACTTCTATAACTATAAGTGCATCAAACATAATGTTACTCAAGGAAACTATGGCAATACAACTGTTAAATTGTCAGAAAATTAAGGATAATGAGTTTGAAATTAAAATTTCTAGTGTTAAAATATTTTATAGAGTGTATGGAATATTGTTTTAGAACTCATGGAGGAGTGCACATCCACAACGATAATGTCACAGTTACTGCCCCTACTATCATGTGGGTCAAGGTAAGATTACCTGTCATTTAAAGGGTCTTAAGTTACTGTAGCAGATATGTTTACTTAAAATTAATTTTAGGACCACCACATAGTATACTAATAAAATATTTTCCATAACACTATTGAAAATATTTCCAATGTTCCTAAGATATTTGATAAGGAAAAATATATCTTATTTCAGTATTTGGGTAATTTTTTGACATCTAATTATTAAAATATTAGGAACAAGAATTGAGAAATGGTTTGATTTAGTTATTTACATGGTAAGCTCTGTATATATAGTACGAGGGTTGATCCAAAAGTAATGTCACTGTGTCAATATCTTTAATATTTGGCGTCATGTTATCAAATATTATATAACAAAAGATGCACACAAAAAATCTGATCAAAATTGAAAATTTCATTTGAAAATGTTTAATTGAATTAATTTTATAGGCGTTTAGAATATTAAATATAAGAGGTGTCGCCGTGTCACAACTAAATGTCACATTTTAAAGTGTAAATTGTTAGAATGAATAAAGACAAACACATTAAAAAGCATCTGTTAAAGCGTTTAATCGCCCAATATTTTAAAAGACAAAATTTTACGACATTTTCTAGCCTTAAGGTCATATGCAATAGTTTGAACTTTATTGGATTCTTCCCTGGAGTTGAAGAGTTCCACTAAACATGCTAAATGAAGGACATGTGTGCAATACTTTTAATGTCTATGTATGGATTTGTACACCTCTTCTTCAACAATTTTTGATGAAAAAAATCTGTAATTTATGTTTTGTATTTTTTGTAAATTTTTCTTTGAGTAATGCAAAATTTTTCACAATTTGATATCTTTTCAAAACCGCTGGTAACGCATGCTGATTTTTTTGTCTATGAACATGTAATGGTATCATAAGTTTAAATTTAGAATATCTTGAAAAAATTATCCGTAGGTAAGGTACCTTGCGTATGTCCTTAAGTTGAAAAAAAGATGGCGTCATTTTTTTTATCATAAATATTTTTGTTTTAATCAGCTAATATTGAACAAATGAAATGTTGATCTTGAGAAAACTGCTAAAACGAGCTGTAATGTGTTTTGCTTCATAATGGGGAAATCGCCTGTAAAAGAAAGTTAAGATGATTAATCAAAGTCACGGAGGAGAAAATGTAAACAAGATACTTAAGGTAAGTCACTCGTCAGCTTCTTAGAAAAGTTCATGCAGAACCTCTTACTTAAAAAATATTTATTAAAATTTAATTTTTATAAAATATTTATAATCAACAATGTAAATTTTTTTTAACATTCATTGAAAAAACTGCTTAAAAATCTACAAAGAAGCAAGATTTATGAGGGACTAATTCATGTGGTGGAAGGATATTCAGCAGAAATTTCTGCAAATCTGCACATTTATTAAATTCAATGTCTTGAAACTTTAGCCTCACATACTTTTACTCGGAGAATATTTTCCGTTGTGATTTTGCAGGAATATTTAATATAGGTCTTAATTTATATTTTTAGAACAAGTTTTACACCTTCCCTCAATAAACTTTGCCAAGAAAGGAAGATATATTAAAGAAGTCAAGATAAAATTTACACCATTTTTGCCTGAAAATCACATATTTTGACCAATATTTCAAAATTAACATCACTGACCCCAACTTTTTCTTTCATTATTTTAAACTACTCGATACTTGTGACTGATCAGCACTTAACTCCTAAAAAGTTTGATGTAAGAAAATGTTTTATTGCCTATTTAGTTTTTTAATACCCCAAATATGTTATTTTTTAGTGCAAAAAGGTCACACAATAATAAACGCGCATTAATTTGCAAGATTTGTTCAATGATAAATATTATTCAAACTATTTTATGTAAAATAAGATTAAATATATTAACGTAGTAACATCTGATAAAATAAAATTAGAGATAAAGTAATTAATCAAAGAGTTAAATCTTAAGTGCGAAAAGGTCAACTTAATTGTACCATAGATCAGTAAGATGCACACTGACCCCCTATTTTCTTTGCGATTTTGAGTCATACTATATGAGTACTTATCCAAAATATACTTCCCAAAAAATCCTTGATTTAAAAATTTGACGAGTGACTTACCTTAATTATAGATTGTTTCTGCGATTTTTAGCGGGTCATGGTTCACTGAATGATCAGCAGAGGACATAAAAACCGAAAAGGGGAGGTCGGTCGGAAACGTTCAGTGGTGTCTGACGTTGTCCAAAAAGAGAAACAGTTAGAGCGATATAAGAAACTTTAAGTTTGTCTTATGGTACTACTCAAAGAATTTTGACCAAGGTCTGAATTATGTATAAAGTGAGTGTACAATGGGTACCAAAAATTCTTTTTAAAAGAGAAATATATGTGAATGTGTTCGTTAATCTCAAATATTATTAATGAAACGAAGGGGAAGGGCCTAAGTGTATGACAGCGCGTATCCATCTTCTGACGTTATTTAGTTGCCGAGACTAGCATAATTGCTCTTTGTATATAATTTGATATTTTGAAAAGTATAAATCATTTTCATTTGATTTTTTTCAGGACTGATTTGTTATAAATGTAGCTTCGATCATATCATGTAAAACTTCATTCGTACATGTCAACTATTGGCAATTTTATCAAAATTGTGACATTACGTTTGGATCAAACCTCGTAAATACTGTTTCAGGTTCTTAGCTCACCTGAGCTGAAAGCTCAAGTGAGCTTTTCTGATCACATTTTGTCCGTCGTCCGTCTGTCTGTCTGTCTGTCTGTCCGTCCGTAAACTTTTCACATTTTTGACTTCTTCTCAAGAACCGCTGGGCCAATTTCAACCAAACTTGCCACAAAATATTCTTGGGTAAAGGGGATTCAAGTTTGTTCAAATGAAGGGCCACGCCCTCATTCAAGGGGAGATAATTGGGAATTAATGAAAATTTGGTGGTATGTTTTAAAAATCTTCTTCTCAAGAACCACTGTGCCAGGAAAAATGAAACTTATGTGGAAACATCCTCAGGTAGTGTAGATTCAAATTTGTTCAAATCATGACCCCCGGGGGTAGGGCGGGGCCAAAATGGCCGACCAAAGTTTTACATTGAAATATATAGTAAAATTCTTTAAAAATCTTCTTCTCAAGAACCACTGTGCCAGGAAAGATGAAACTTATGTGGAAACATCCTCAAGTAGTGTAGATTCAAGTTTGTTCAAATCGTGACCCCCGGGGGTAGGGCGGGGCCAAAATGGCCGACCAAAGTTTTACATAGAAATATATAGTAAAATTCTTTAAAAATCTTCTTCTCAAGAATAGCAAAGCCATAATTGATGATATTTATATGGAAGCATCCTCAGGTAGTGTAGATTCAAGTTTGTTCAAATCATCACCCCCGGGGGTAGGGCAGGGCCAAAATGCCGACCAAAGTTTTACATAGAAATATAATATAGTAAAATTCTTTAAAAATCTTCTTCTCAAGAATAAAAAAAACCATAATTGTTCATATTTATATGGAAGCATCCTCAGGTAGTGTAGACTCAAGTTTGTTCAAATCATGACCCCCAGGGGTAGGGCGGGGCCACAATGGCCGACCAAAGTTTTACATAGAAATATAATATAGTAAAATTCTTTAAAAATCTTCTTCTCAAGAATAACAAAGCCATAATTGGTTATGGGACTACTTTTAGATTTAAACTTTTCAATAATAAACCAATTCTACTTTTTCCTAGCCACAGTGCTCAGGTGAGCGATGTGGCCCATGGGCCTCTTGTTATGTTTTTCTCTATGAGTTAATTTATTTTAAAAAGCTTGGAATAGTCTCGAAATGTACTGTAAGCTTCCTCAGCACCCTGTCAAATGCCAATCAGCTTACAGTGTTTCCATCCCGTGTAAATTCAATTAATTAAATTTTATCAGGAGTACTCATGACATCCGTCCACATATAAAAAGGGGGGGGGGGGCATCCTCAGCCCATCGCATGTATTTAAACACCCTTGATAATTTACTTCACATCCTTCTAAATCATAACCAAGTTCCATTTCTCGTTTCAGATATTTCATTTAATAAAGACTTCAATGAAATATAACAAAACAGTCAGTATCTACATCTATATGAGTCTAAGTCCTAGCTTAACATCTCTGGCCTAATAAAATACAGTGGATTGCGGTGTCCGTGTGGTGGAGAAATTATACGCTACTTAATTTGTAATAGTTTACATTATTTTCTCATACCTAAGTCGCTAGTAATTTACAGTCAGTGATGTTGATGACGTAATAAGATCTGATCGTTATAATCGTTGTACCGAAACTGGCGTTCGCTGCTCATATATATAACCTTCTGTAATGGTCACGTGATCACAACAAACCAATGAATAATTGTCCTTTCTGGAGCCTCTCAGAACTACTTTACATACATATTGTATAATACAAAGAAAATAACGTCGCTAAAAATGTCTGTTCTACATGTAAGGTAGGAGCTATAAATTCTATTCGATATACATAATAAAATAAGTTCAACAAACAATCTGTAATAAAACGGACACACACAATCCATGGCGTAGTAATACCGAACAATAATGTACACACATAAGTATTACGCTACATATTCAAGTTCCAAAACATTTCGTCAAATAGAACATAATCAAACGACAATACTGCAATGAAATAACATTTAACTATCAATTATAAATATTCGACGACATGGACAGTGTTATTTCGATCTTATCAATTGTAAAACGACAATGTTTATGTCACATGACTATTTTCTTCGTAAGAAAGATGGCAGGCGCCCAATTTTCAACACATGTGATAGTGCTGAAATAAGTAAGTAAATTCGTTCGTAATATGGTAGATAAAAAAAACAGCATTTATTTACATTACAATGTCGAAGTACAATGTGTATTGCATCAATAATTCAAGTAAACAATAAGATAATGAAATAACATGAACAATAAAACATTTCTAAAATATTTACAACTGGATGCTAATTTACATCACTTAAAAACACTTCACCATCAGCCTTTGATTAATATGCAATATTCTAAAGTCCAGCCCCCATGCATATAACAATACTAATAAAAATGTTGGCTAAAAGAGTAGGAATGTTGTTTTTTTTTGCAACTGTACATGCTGTACATGTTTTATATATTATGCATTTTTTGACAGGCCTTTGACTTGTTGCTAGATAAAATGAAGAAGAATGGTTTTCCCTTTCATAAAGTGGCGTGCATTTCAGGGGCAGGACAGGTGTTGACATCTTCTTCTTGTACATAAATATTTTATCAAAAAATTGTATCTTGATATTTTAATTCCTTAATTATTGAAGTTTTGAACATTTTTTTGAATTGATAAAGTTAATTAATCATTGATTTGATAATTACTGAAGTAGGGGAGATAAATAAGAAAAATAGGTGTTTAGGTGCAATGCAAAATGTAATGATAAAGCGAAATGTACTAATATAGGGTTATTGCGCTTATAATGATGAATACTGGCACTCGTTGGCTGTACAAATGCACTCGCAAGCTCGTGCATTTGTACAGCCAACTTGTGCCAATATTCACCAATATAAGTGCAATAACTCCTTTATTATATAGCTAAACATTTCCTCATTATGATTATGATAATTATTCCAACTAAAATTAAACTCAAATTAATGATTTTTTTTAGTATCGGTATTCAAATTAATGCCTGTCCTGTAAGTGTTCAATATCGCATCATTCTGATGACCCCACCGAGCGTTATGATTTACTTATTTATATTTTAATGGGTCTAATACGTACTAAATTTTTAATAAAATTAATAATTTATGTTTGAGTAAATAATAAACACATTTTACCTAGATACCACTTCTTCTCTTTAATTTAACTCTGAGAATTTGACCAGACGACATTTTTTGTTTACAACGGGACGTTCGATATTGAACGCTCGTATTTGGAATGTTTCTGGCATACTCATATATGTAATAAAAATTCAGAGTTCAATGAAATGTCAAGATATTGAACGCTAAAATTCTCTAGATTTTTAGTAGTATTTTATTAGAGACTATTTATTAGCTATATTATAAACCTGGGTTATTACATTTTGCGTCGAAATCAACGCATAATTTAATAACGCAAAATGTAACAATACACATTTAGGATTATTACATTTTTCATTATTACATTTTGCGTCGAGATCAATGCAAAATGTAATAAATAAATACGATTCTTAGGTTATTAAGCAAGAACTCAAAATGTAATAACACACTTTGTCAGTTGATGGATCTCACAATATCAGAGAATGATGACCAAAAAGGAGGTCATGGTGACCTACTTCTGACATTTTATGGCTATATTTAAGTATCTCGGGTAATTATTGGCTTAGAATCATTTTTTCACTTTGCCAATAAATGCCTCTTGAGTCCTCAGAAAATTTCAATCAAAAAGTAGTTTACTCTGATCTACTTATGGTATTTTGTAGCTTTATTGAAATATCTTCAATCCTAACTGGCTGAGAAACATCAAACTTTGTCAGTTGATGCATCTTGGGTCCAAGGATACTTAGAGTTTGAGGCTTCAAATAGAAGTGATAGATTGTACAATTTATCAGAAGAACGATTAAAAATGTAATAATCCAGTTTATTACACTACGCGTTGTTATTACATATTGCGTTGTAACATCCCATATATAATAAAAGCAATATGAGCTGCAATTTTGCTGTCAGAAGTTTTGCAAAGTTGTAAATAACTATTTCAATGACAGAAAAAAGTGTTTATAATATTCTTTTGTTCATATTTCCTAAGTAAGAACTATTTATAGGCTTTGATTGAATCAAATTATTTTCGTCCTGTACAATAATGATTTCTTATACTGTATATTCGATTGTGTAGAAGTCCTTCTCCTGAAAGAATTTAATGCCTTTTAGTCTAATTGATCAAAAAGGTTTAAAATTATATACAAATTAATCATAATAACACATTTTAACAGCAAAGTAAAATTTCAAAAATGCATCTTATGTTGTTTTAATATTCATATATAATACTTTTTGTAATTAATATTCATATAAAGTACCTTTTCTCTGCAGCAAAATGGTAGTGTATACTGGAAAAAAGGTACAAACCAAATCTTAAGAAATCTTGATGACAAAAGACAACTACATGAACAACTACAGGTAAAATAAAATATTTTCTCTCCCTCCCGAGTCTTACCCCAGGGCTAATTCAAACAGGGTTTGGGTCAATTACTTTGATATGTAATTAAATACATGTACTTTCAAATACATTAATACTGGGGTAATTTTGTCAATTGCTTAAAATTACATTGATTTTTTTTTATGTAATTAATAACTCTCAATTACCTAGACAAATGTAATGAAATACATTTTAAGTTTTATTTCAAAAAAAGTCTCAAAACTTTCACAAAACATATACAAGTATATACAGGCATTAAGTACTGAAATTGGTGTTTCTGAATGAAATTTGGTATACAGATATATCAGATAAATATCAAGGTCAAGTTCAGTTTTGGATGCGACCGTGCCATTTTTGATAGAGTTATGCCCCTTTGACTTAGAAAAATTTCAATTACTTGCAGTTTCCATTCATTTTCTTTGCAGAGGTTGCACATACTGAAATGAAATTTAATATACAGATACAGTATATCAGATGAATATCAAGGCCAATTTTTTTTTGTACAATTGCGCCATTTTCGACAGAGTTATGTCCCTTGGACTTAGAAAAATTGCAATTATTTGCAGTTTCCGTTCATTTTCTTTGCAGAGGTTACACATACTAAAATGAAATTTAGTATACAGATATATCAGATGAATATCTAGTTTTATTATTTTTGGGATACAATGGCACCATTTTTGAGTTATGTCCCTTTTGGACTTACAAAAAATCCATTGGGGGGAGGGGGCATAAGTGTTTTACAAACATCTCTTGTTGTTCCTGGGTATGAGATTTTAGTATTTTGATGAAATTTAGTTAGAGATAAATGCTCTGCAATAAGGAAAAGTGTTTTTACAAAAATATATCAACTTATTTTTGGGCAATTTTCATAGATATTTAAGGACTAACAATGAGCCCTCTCATTTTTATCTTAGAATTAAAAACACAAAAACAAACATCCTTACTCTTGTAAAAACTGTGAGGAAGACTTTCAGGTTTTTCATCCTTATATCTTTAATCCTTTTGTCATCCTTTTGGTATCTTGCATGAAAGTTTGCTTTTTCAGATATATTTATTTTTAAAAGAAATCAAATCTATAATTATGATACACGAATTTTCAGCATAGCATTTTGGAACAATTTATCAGAAACGACGTACTCTACAATTGTGTAAGGGAATGATTGTTTTTATATTGAGAGTAACATCTCTTATCATAGGATGAATGAACTTTAATTGCTAGTGTATTATCATATATTTTAAACACTTTGTTATATTTTCTGTAGCTTCCTTGGCAGGCGTGGCACCAAAACTAGGTGATACAATTGTAAGTATTAAACACCGGTGATAAATGAATGTTTACCAATAACCATATACATATTTGTTTAAAAAAAGTATTTTGTAAGCTCACCTGAGCCATTGGCTTATTAAAAATCCCCCCCCTCTCATTTTTATCTTAGAATTAAAAAAAAAAACAAACATCCTTACTCTTGGATTGTAATATCGAATTTTTAATGCCTATATTACATGTATGTACAGTGTATATCTTTGCAAAAAAAGCCCCCACCCCCACCCCATGTGTACAAGTAAAGAAATCTCCAGAAAAGTAGGGCTTATGGATCATATTGATATTAATTTATGCTAGTGTTGTGGAATTAATATGATTACTAAATCACTCCCTTGGTCCTACATTGTAGAATTTGGTTTTCAATATAAAGTCAATATTTTTATTAAAACTCAAGATGGAGATTCAAAAAAAAAGTATCTCCTGATAAAGAACAGCAAGGCTACATGTAAATCAACTCTGATGAGCACTTTGCCCTATAGACCTCTATTTTTTCTTCTTTAATGGTTTCAGAAATGGGAGTTAAATGAACTCTCAGTGATGTATCTTTTCTATTTTCAAATCACAGATTCTATTAATTATTTTATACTGATCCTTTGGATTAAAACAAATGTGAAAAAATTTAATTCTTTGTTAAACAAACCACACATATCATAATTGTAGTTTTATGTAATCACTTATTTTCTTATTAGATAAGTCTGGGGTCCAGTGATACAGTATTCTCCTGGCTGTCGAGGCAGACAGTGGAACTGGATGGCGATCTTTTTGTTAACCCCATCGACCCTGATACATATATGGCTTTTGTTGGGTAAAGTTTTTTTTTATTGGGGGGGGGGGGGGATTTTAACTTGACAGGGAAAAAATATTTTGTATTGCAAATAAGAATGATAGTTAAGAGAGTTCAGTAGTCAGAGTTATGCAGAGTTATTTTTTTAAAATAAATTTTATCAAACTCTCTGGCAGTATATCACAAACTTCTTCCAATTATACAAGTTAATTTTATATGAATCAATTAAAAATAAATTGTAACAGACTATGGAATTTCTTTTCCAGCTTTAAAAATGGTTCTCTCACAAGAGAGAGAATCAAAGATGAATGTGCTGAAGGATCATGGGATAAATTTTCAGAATGTTTGAAAAACACACCAATGGGAAATAATGGAAATATAGGTAAAAATATTACTTCAACAAACATAAGAAAGCACCTTTGAGAGTTTTGATATAAAAGGGATTTAGCAATGCTAAAGCCTTGATAAAAGTATTGTTTATTGAAATTTCCAAAGTACTCTGTATCCTGATTAAATATTTTCTGAAATGAATATGATCGATTTTTTTGTTATACAGGAATATATTTTGATGTGATGGAGATTCAGCCATTATCTCAAGGAATTTTCCGATTCAACAAATCAGATGAAAAGGTACATCATGAGGAATTTAGAAACAACACCTGGATATCTAACATGTAAAATGTTATGATGAAGCTTTTCTCTTCTTAATTACCACAAATCCTGTATATGCCAGAAGATGTCATTTTCATTTACCCACCCCCCTCCAAACCTATTTTTAGATAAGTTTGCATCTGGCAAAGTTTTGCAGATATGTCTTTCTGGATGTTGGGTAATCTTAACCAATTGAGCTTTGTAGGGTTGTTTATTAAAATGTAATATCTTGCATACAGATTCGGTTTTAAGATACCAGTCATTCAAGATAAATTTATATTTATTTCAATATACTAGTATATGTACTTCTTTTTTTAATTCAGAATTTTTTTTGTAAAACTTGATTTTAGTTTATTAAGATGTTAAATACGCTACCTAGCGATTAAGATTAAAATGAATAGGGGGAATTTCTTCTTGAGTGAATTACAGTTGTCTTACTCTAAGAATCTTTGTTGTTAATTAGGTGGCCTCCTTCCCACCAGAAGTAGAAGTGCGAGCTGTGATAGAGGGTCAGATGATCGCTCGTAAAATGTACACAGAAAAGAGAGGAATTCACACAGGTAGGATGTATAATATGTTAAGGACGAGACCATGGGGTGAGCAGAATTTTGTATTTTTTAAATAAATTTAATTTTTAACTTTTGAATTTCTTAGAAAATTCCTTGTAATGTTTTACATGTTAACTTTATCAACCTGTTATACATGTATTTATCATTTTAAAGTAAATGGTTCAACATTTCAACCTTTTCTCCGATACTATTTCATGTGATATCTTGACATAATTTTGTTCTACGTTACTTAACTGCTTGCAGATGTCATTATTTGTGGAATTAGGTCACATCAGTCTAACTTTTTCTGAAATCTATATATATATCAGTACAAACACATCACATGTACATGTATGTATGGTGACTGATTAAATCCTTAACAGGCCTGGACACCCGAATTCTGGCCACTGGTGGAGCCTCTCTGAATAAGGCTATTCTGCAGGTAAAGGTCAAGGACATATAATATCAAAAAGCACGGCTACAAGATTCTGGTAATCAAATCCCTTGTCAGGGGTAAAGCCCTAGTAAATAAGTGTGATATGAATCAAATATTCTTATATCAATTTAGATTGTATTCCATGTTCTATCATCATAGGTTTATATTATTCTTTAGGTTACTGTATACATGTATTGTTCATATCATTATAGGTTATATTATTCAAGGTGATATATCATTCTAGAAAATATCAATCTAGATCATATCATTCTAGGTTATATTATTCATAGACCATTAGGTCATATTATTTTATAGGTGAATTCATTCATATCAGTCTAGGTTATATCATTCTAGTTTATATAATTCTATTTTATTGGAAAATTATTCTACGTTATATCAATCTATAGATTATATCAATATAGATTGTATCATTCTATAGGTTATATCAATCTATGGTTTATACCAATCTAGATTAAATTTTTCTGGATTATATTGTAATATTTCTAATTGTTTTACCATTCTAGGTTATATCGGATGTGTTTGGGGCACCTGTTTTTGTGAGTGATATTCCAAACTCAGCCGGCCTTGGCTCCTGTTACAGAGCTAAACATGGTGAGTATACTCAGGAGGAATAAACTCAAAATGTATACTCAGTAATGTATACTCAATAATGTATACTCAGTAGTGTATACTCAATAATGTACACTCATTACGTAAAGGTTTTACTCAGTAATTTACACTCAATAATGTATACTCAGTAGGGTATGTTGTGTAGTCAGAAATGTATATACATGTATATACTCCATAATATATACTCAGTAGTATATACGAAGGTCATTCAAAAAATACGTAGACAATGTTCCTCATCATCATATTATTATTACAAGATTAAAAATCAACATAATTTCGTAAATTAAATCATTTATTTTGTCAAAGTGTGAAGTTTTATTCTATTTTATTATATAGAACTCGTGTTAGCCAATTTTTAAAGCAACATACATGTACTTTGTTACCATGGAGCACGCTTAACCAACATTGTCAAGTTAAAAAGAACGCTGAAAAAGTTTCTCAAAATTACTCTGCTTTTTCAGTACATACACGGATTGTAGCGTCTTCTCCATTCATGAAAACGTATCCATAACAATTGATACCTAGTTTGCTAACATTTGTGCAAATAACTTGAACTAGATTGTCAGCGTTTTCAAATTCTGCATAACTCTATTAGTTCCGCAACAGTGAAGCGCACATCAAGTTTAACCTTTCTTTTTTTGCCTTTTTTTAATCAAGTCAATATGTGTTTAGAAACTGATTTCTTTTAAACGGAGCAATATATTGCATCACTTGATAGCATCTTAGACAGCAAGACTTCATTCATACAATTCATGCAAATTTTATTTTGTTTCAACTCCATTCATTAGAAGTATGGCTTTAAATACTATAAAGTGAAATTTAGTAAATTATTCAATTTTGACTTTTTTCCTCGACTCAGTTTTCGTTGTTCTAAATCTTAAATGATTTTTAGAAATATGAAGACATATTCCAATTTTTATTACTCATTGACAAATTATTCAAATTTGTTGTTAAAGATATGTGTACCAAATTTGGATATAATATGACCTTAAATAAAAAAAAATAGGACGAAAGTCCATGAACTTTTTGAATGACCCTCGTACTCATTAATGTGTGCTCTTTACTGTATAGTGTATACTCAGTAGTGTATTCTCTGTAACGTTTAATGTATATATTCAGTGGAGTTTACTCAGAAGTAAATTATATTTAATCTTAGTAGTGTGTACTCAGTAGTGTCTGCTAGGTAGTTTATGATTAGAAGTGTGTTCTAAGTAGTGTATACACAAAGAATATGATACATGTAATAATTATGTAAGCATTCCATCCCCGCAAACATCTTTGATCCAAAAATTGTATATAAATTTGATTTGATAAGTTTTTGCAATCTTGTTAAAGATTTTTAACTTCTGCAAATAGAAAATGAAGAATAGGAATGTCTTTCAGATTTTAAAAATAAACAACCTTTAAGTATTGATATTCAGTTGTCTTATTGGTAGTGTATGATTTATTTTACAGGGCTCGACGGTTGTGATTTCGCTGAGGTTGTTAAGAACCACCACCGACCTGAGTGTGTGGCAGTCCCAACAGAGGGTGCTAGTGAGGTGTGTAAATAATGAATACACGATAGTTATACACTGAAAACCACATGTGTTTGTGTATCAATTGTCTATCAATTCACTGAAATTTTTAGTATATAAAAAATGTCATACTTTTAGGCTTAGATAAATAGATTATGTGTTTCTGCTTTTCCAACTGACCCTAATATTAAAGATCTGACCCTGCAGTTTGCTGCCAATGTTTTCCCAGGAGTAAACTCTTCCAGTTGATCACCTCCTCATTTGAGAAAAGACTTATCATACGCACATTAATCAGAAATATTTTGACAGCAATATCCCTGGAGAAAAGTGGCAATGTGCTTCCCAATAACATGTTAAAATAAAATAAAATGTTTTCTCTACCAACCCTATTTATTTTCAGGTTGGAATAGGAAACACATTTTTTATTTATCTTGGCCTTAATAATAACAGGTACTTTCAAAGGTATGACATACTATGTTTATTTACCAATTAAAATTTCCAGTAAAATTAATAGGTTTGCAAACTCTTGTGCTGAAAACAAGTTATACTGAATACAACTCAGTGTACTTAAATATGCAGGCATCACACATAGCGGCTTTGATCGACATTCATGTTGATGTGCTAGTTCATTAATACTCTAAGAAATGATACATAAATAAAATAAACAGTACAAAAATATGTAGCACTAATTCATGAATACTCAAACAATTCCATTGATTGTGATAAGTTTTGAATATTTTGATTCATGTACACATAAAGTATTTAATGCTTAAAACAAACTTGTTAGAAATAGTACATTACATACCATCTGAACATGTGCACCTATTAATTAATTTGTCAAACGAGTATGAACACTAACGTATAGAAACCATTCTTTACTATAAGACTTAGAATTGCATGTGTTTCTATCTTTTAGGTCTATAAGGAAATGAGTTTGAGGTACAGAAAATTAGAGCGAGGAGTTGCCAACCAACAAAAGGAGTGAAATGTCTAGGATTAATTAGTTTGCTCATTAATTATGGTAGCAAATCGCCTTTTATTTACATTTGGTGCTATCTCCATCTCGTATTATTTAAATCTTTGTTATGTAATTGTGATGGATCATTTCACTGGGTATGCTAAATAAATTATGTACCATAGCTCATCCTATGATGGACAATAAATTGATTGTACATTTTTCCTGAAATCCTAGTTCAATGTTTAGTTCATGAATCAAACAGAACTGGGGTTTTATTATTTTAAAAACAACAGGAGCTTCATGCACATAGCTCTTATAATGAATTTTTATAGTAAAATGATAATGTCTGGAAATGGGCTTTCACCAACCCTACTCCATGATGTGATATGCCTGCTGTCATCATTTCCCTGTGACTGTGATCTTTTTTTAAGAGATTTCAGTTACTTTGTTAAAAGTTTGCATTACATTTTTAGGATCGTTATACTGACCTTGTAAGCAAATATAATGTATATTTGTTTTTTACATTAGCTCTATCTGACAGATACCAGAAAAGCTTATGTAATGGTCAAGTGCCTATCTTCTGTCCGTTTTCAATCTGTAAGCATTTTTTCTTTTTTGAAAATTCCACCCTTCCTTTTGTTTTAGTTTAATTTCAATTATTTGGCAACAATTAAATTAACTACGCTTAGATATATAATTCATACATTTCCTTCTTTGGGTTTTGAACTCCGATGAAAGGTGTTGCTATGGTTATTAAAAGTAGAATTTTCTATGGAATACCTCTGAGTTACTCCTCCTACATTTTTTTCCTGACTTCAATATAACTTCAATATAACTTAGCACAAAAGTAGAGTACATTATTGTAATCATTGGTTTTTGATTTTGATGAATGATATTGCTATGGTTCCTTATTTAAAAACTTGTTACCAAGAACCATTGGACTAGAAATGCTGAATCTTATGTTGAAACTTCCTGAGGTAGTGTAGATTCTAAATTGTCAAATCATGCCCCCACCCCCCACCCCCACCCACCCCAGGGAAGGATAGGGTCACACTATGAAATTCAAATTTTACATCGATATGTATATGAAAAATCTACAAAAATTTTCTTTTCTAGAACCGAACAAAAAGTATACGAGGAAGCTTCCTGAGTTAGAATAAATTTTAAATTACAAGTAATTATTCATATTGTCGCGGATGTATTCGGAGATTCGGCCACAAAAAGTCTAAATTTATGTTGAACTTCTTTTGTTAATTAACCTGTACCTGATTTATTCGACTTCAGTTTTCTAACTCTCCAATTTTAGTGAATTCTTAGCATCAGTTGGATAATCTAATCTGCGCATTAACAATGTAACATAGTTGTGTATTTAATATTGCGATGGCAGTGAATAAAATAGTACTTGCTATCTGATGTCCAACGAAATACGCGTGGACGGGTTATCTACTTGATCCCAAGGGGGTATGTAACATCTGGGGTCTAAGTAGATGTGGGGAGTGCCGAGCACGCGGTTTGAGCAGAACAAAGAAGGCTGTTTAGATAGGCAGACGTATTTAGGTTTATGCAGACGTATTTTGGTTTATGCAGACGTAGTTAGGTTGATTGTATGTACATCGGTACTTGAGTTAGGAAGATTGGGGGGAATTAAAACTCTATATTTCCTAGTATCTAATTATTATTAGACAATAGAGTTGTTGGATTTGTCCTGTTTATTAATTTTATGGATTCGTGGCCTGTTGAGAGTGCTGGAATCTGGGTCATACTAACTAAGTGTATGACTGTCGCTTTACCGTGTTTGTAAAGTGTGGGACCCTGTGTCTTGTTCTATTGTGTCTGTGTGTGCGGTAGAGCACTGGTTTGGTTTTCGTCTGCTGTTTCGTTAGCTTAGTATGATTTCTTAGCATGTTTTGTAAATACGTTGAATATATTTAGTCTGTATATACGTTGTGCATATTTGTATATTTGGCAGCGCACATTAGTCATAGTTCTATCCCTAAGGTCTGATTCTTATCAGACCCGATCCCTGAGTGTTGTAGGGAGGCCGGTTTGGCTCTAATCCGTTCCCTTACACGTTACAATATCATCACCAATGGTAGAATCGGACCAACTTAAAGTTAATGTTTTGAAAAGTAGGTCATATTTCAAGGTTATGTGTCAAAAATCATAGTTTATTGGAAAATGTAATGTACATGTGAAATATGATAGCCCTACATGTACGAGGGTCATTCAAAAAGTTTTGTCCCCCCAAGTCCTCCATAAAAAAATGAACGTAGATCACTTCAAACACACTTGTTATGGTTCATTGAATTCATTATCTACCACACCGTCCTTGCAGAAAAAGAATTGCTTCAGTTTTTGAAGATTTATCGAGTTTTGAAAATACCCTACACGTGATACTCTATAGTTTCATCATGGGAAAGAAGGTAAATACAACAGCAGAAATGACAAGCTACATAAAAGCCTGTGCTAAACTTAAAAAATCAGTAAAGGAAACATTCGAAGAGGTACACAATATTTATAGACACCAACAGCCGTCATACAGAACCGTTTCTAGGTGGCTGAAAAAATTCAAAGATGGGAGAGAAACTGTTAAAGATGATGTACGATCCGGAAGACCAAAAACGGTTAGTAATGCAAAATACTTGCTGATAATCAAAGATCTAGTCGAGAAAGAGGGCAGATACACTGTTAAGGACTTAGCTCGAATAGTAGGGATATCAATGGGAGCAGTTCACAAAATTCTTACAATAGATCTCGGTTATAGGAAGATCTTTGCAAGATGGATACCTCATTTACTGAATGAGGAACAGAAAGCTAGTCGTGTTTCATGTGCGAAGAAAATAATCAAACTATTCAAAAAGAGGAAAAATCGACTATTTTCAGACTTAGTAACAGGAGATGAAACGTGGGTTTATTATTTTCAGCCGCAGAGAAAGTTTAATAATAAAGTCTGGATGACAAAACATGGAAAGCGTCCAGTGATAGCCAAACGATGTCAGAGCACAAAGAAGATTCTTTATGCCATTTTCTTTGATAGGGAGGGTGTTGTGTTGCAATTTCCTATTCCCAAGAAGAGAAGTATTACTGCTTGAAAATGTTAATGTTGAAAAACTCTTAGGTGTCCATAAAGATCAAAATCTTCATTATACTTATCATGTAGATTCAGTTTGTAAATCCTTAACATACAAGTTATTTACACTCCGTAAAATCAAGAAATTTCTTCCATTAAATACCAGAAAACTTTATTATAATGCATACATTTTGCCTTCAATAAACTATTGTCTTACAATTTGGGGCAATGCATCTAAAACTAGCATTGAACGAATTCATAAACTTCAGAAACGGGCTGCTAGAATTATTCTTGATTCATCACCCGACGAACCATCAAAACCATTGTTTGAAAAACTGGGATGGCTAAATGTGTTTGAATTAGTCACACTACATAAGTGTATTTTATTGTACAAAACTTTTTATGGTATGAGCCCTGAATATCTCCAGGACCTTTTTGTTTTTCATGGCCATGATTCCTATTCCTTACGTTCAGAATTAAACTATAATCTTCGTTTACCAAGACATCGAACAATTTTATTTACAAATTCTATTCAATATTCAGGTGTAAATTTATGGAATAACCTACCATTACATGTAAAATTATCACCAACCTTACCTATTTTTAGACGAAATGTAGAAAAAATTATAATTAGCCAACGTCTGTAAATAAATGTTTGAATATGTCCTTTGTACAAGATGTTTGATTATTACTATTGTTTAAGACAATGTCTCCTGAACAATTAATATTGACTTCTTTATTTTGAATCTATATCTCATTTAGCTGTACATTACATTTAATTATTCATGCATTAACGAACTCTACATGTTTTATCTTTGATTGTATCATTTTATGTAATATGTTGTTTGAAATCAGAAGGCCCCGGGGAAGAATAGTACCTTGTACTAATCGGGTAACCTTCTCTAAATAAAGCATTATTATTAAGGTCTTCCGTCTTCACGGAAGACCTTATAGTGATTCTACTGTTTCTTATTATTATTTTTCCATACATCTAATTTTGTGCACGCGATTTCTCAAAGACTGCTGGATGGATTTTCATGAAATTTGCAGGAACAATGTGTTGTTATCTGAAGTTATTTTATCCGAGAGATTTTTAGGAAATTTCTTTCTGGTGCTAAGTTACGGACAATTTTTCTGATTTAAAATGACATTTTGTCCACGGTTAATCTCAAGAACGGTAAAAGATATCACTATGAAACTTTCAGGGATTATAGATCGTTATAAGTACTTTCCAGGATATGAACTTTTGTATGTCGTCTCTACTTCCTGTCGTTACGGCAGGCGAATTTAAAAAGTCGAATTTTCTAACTTTTTTGTTTTTCAATATTTTTGAATTATATTGGTATGGTTAATAGAAACCTTTTAAATTAGGCTGAATATATAATTTGTTTTTGAATTGATAAATCCAAACTCAAGATATTAACAATCAAAAATTTGAACCGGGACCAAAATGGCGGCGGTCTCTGTCAACTCCGACATTTCGCAATAGGGGTTTACAGAGGCAGCCGAGCGTTTGCATGAACGAAAGTAACATAAGGAGCAATGAAATGAAAGGAATACTTGGATTTTCACGACGTAGGTACGTTGCAATTCTGTGTCAAACTACATTTATAATCTAAGGCCTCCTTACACGTCTTCTTTAATTGGTTTTAGTTGTTTCTCAAAGTAGAAATAGAAAAGAATTAATGTGCAAATGAAGTACAATACCTACTATCTTTTATTTTGCATCACGGAAACATATAGCTTAAATCGTTGTTATAAGTTATAGTTTTTCAAGAAACAATATATATATAGTAAGTATAAAACGTGACCATTGTTTTCCCATGCACACTTGTGTCATATTAAATTAATAGAAAAGACAACTGTTACAATAAGGAAATTTTTTTTATAAGACAACTATTTTGAAAAGACCGTTTAATTGACTTTTTATATAAACAATTTTTTTTCCTCAATGCAAGTTATTGAACATAATGAAATCTTAATTCTTGACCCTGGTAGGGCGATCGAGGCATTTTTCCGGTAAAACACACAACCTTTATCATGAAAGTGTAGGTAATCGGAAAAGTCCACTTTCGTGATTAACAGGAATTTTTTTTAAAAATTAACCATTCATAGCTGTTTCACTGCTTTAGTGTTATTTGCCTATATACGATATGTTACATGTATGTATTAAATATACTTTCCACTCCTCGAAATTTAGGCGATAAGAACGCTCTTTTGTTATTTGGTTTGGTTGAAGCTATCTCACCTTCCAAGGGAAAGGCGCTAAGATTTACTCGTGGCGCTTGGCGCGAAATTATGAATAGTGACCCTCCTTTCATAATTACAAGACAGATTAACTGTTGCAGAATTACATGTACATACAAATGAATTTAGAGAAGTTGTTCAAATAGCGTAATCGATAAGCGTATTGGATTTTCACGCTAGTGACCCGTTTAAACTACCAATGTGTCCAAAAAAATGTTAAATAGATTTTCAGCTCGATTTTAGGGTTATTTTTCGGATAGGACGGAAGACCTCTCGTTGCTCGCAACGAGATCGTTTCTAGTTATTATTATTATTATTATCATTATAAGGAGGAAGGATGCCTCTTTGAGATTTTTGAATTGCAGGGTCCCTGGGTTAGGGCTTTTTGTGTTAGGACGGGGCTTTAATGTTTATATAGTGAAAATGCATGAATTCTTTGAAAATAATTTCCTTTGTTGTTGGGTATAATGCCAATGAGCTTAGTATATATTTATGACAAAAAAACATGCTTCTTCCAAAAATGGTTTATTTCCTGGCCCCTGAGAAAGATAGTGGTACTTTGGGGGGGGGGGGGGTAGCATAGTCTGAAATAATTGAATGCTTTGAAATCTGCACTTTGATGTTAATCAACAGCAAGATGAAATAAAATTTTTAAAAATGTCCAAAATTTTGAAAGATGTGGCCCCAGGGTCAGTGGTTCCTGTGGTATAGGGAGCTCAACTGTGGACCCGCCCTAACACAAGAAGCCCTGACCCAGGGGCCCTGAAATTCACTAAAAGTGGAAATGCATTTTCTCTTTGTTACTCTGATCTACCTCTGGGTATTAAGTAACCAAAATAAACATGCTGAGTGTATAATTATGATAAGCAATGGTGCCTCTTTCAAAATTGAGAATTTCATGGCCTCTACTGGCTCTAGTTTAAAACATAAATCAAACTCAATTGTTGGAAAGTTGATGCTCAGGTGACCTATCAGGCCCATGGACCTCTTGTTTTATTAGGCAATCCATTTCAGAATTGATAATTGATGAGCTGCGAGACGTTCTGACCGATTCACAGATTATTGTATCATAATACAAAGTTTATAATATTTTTTTTTTCAAGTAGCTCTATTCAAAAGACTAAAACGCCATAAGAAACTTTTACAGTTATATACCGTATTTTTTTTTCGTATCTCGATCTGGAATAATCACTTCCAAATAAGCTTAATTTTAAAGATTTGTTAAAACCTATACATTATCAACTTTTATACAAAAGTTTCCTATATAAAAATGATTTTTTAGAAAACCGTATTCAAATTTTAATATATTTTTTTTGACTAACCAATTATGGATTTTCTAACCAATTACCATCGTTCTGACCGATTAATCGGTTAACCGGTTAAGAATCCTCTATACACTGAACACTAAAGAGTTCTGATTTTATTGTATTTTTCTGCAATTAGAGTACGCGATCTGCCCTTAGATTTATTGTTAGATTCTAATTCTAAATAATAGTTTTGTAAGATTATTACAAGTAAATGACACGCACCATACAGTGAAAATTAAATAGATAAGCTCAATATTGACTCCTTTATGCAATATATTTTTCTTAGTGCCCAAAAACATTTTGCACTTGTGTAGAGAAGGTCCTTAATACAATTTGTAATTGAAGGAGTTTTCGCCATATTCGATTGATTGTTCACTCACCATATCTGAGGACCCTTATATAAAACCGCTTCCTATCACTGTTCAGTGTAAACAGTTGTCATCGATGTAAACAGACGTGCTACACAGCAGTTGTTAGAGACAAAAAATAACCGTGTATATGTACGTTAGGAGAAAAAGATACCAATGACAGTTACGACAGTTGCATAGATCACTGCAGTGTACAATAATTCACGCATGATAAATGCAATAAAATGTAAACAAAGGTTATGTAAATTTCCAGAACGAATACAAGTCGCCATTTCACACCGATACCCCTCATAATATTATAATTCGGGAGGTGGTGTGCACATAATTTCTTGTTGCTAATAACTGCTGTCTAGCATGCGTTTGTTTTTACCCGCGACAACTGATTAAAACGAACAATGATAATCTAAAAATAGTTATAAATTTACATTTTTTTTTAAATTCAAAATTTGTCACATTTTTCACACAAATCACATTTTTATATGCATCTCGCACATCAAACGACAACTGCACGTTCAGCGATGTTCTGAGTCGAGACATGAGAGAGGTACATGTAGTTTATTCCTCGATCTGTTACGTGTTCAATTTTTATGTTAAATAACAATCTTTACTTTTGTGACATAGAGGATTTGTGTATTTATATAATGAGAATCATTCATTAATTTGCTGTTCTGTTGTTACATACGGATTGATGAATGAAGACACAAACAAGTGTTTGTCAGTGATGCATGATAATTTATTCAACCTCGGGCGTCTATATACAAATGTAAAATGAAATCTTTTTTTTTTACTTTGTCCTGAAAAAAAAAACAAATAGGAAAGTTAATTTTTCCTATAATAACAACAATAATCAATATATCTAGAATCCTATTTCTGATTTCAAAATTATGCAAATTAAAAACATAAATGTTGAATTGAAATTCATTTTTTTACATTGGGAAATGCATACATATACAAAGTAAAGACATGACGAATAAAATCTCTTTAAAATATATAAATATATTTCATGAACATCAGATACAGGTATATTTGTCCAAAAATATTATTTTGTTTAATTTTCGAAATTGTGCATATAATAAATATTATCTACCGTATATACTCGCCTATACATGCATCCCCCCACAAAAAAAAATTCCCGACGTATAGTCGGGTATATACGGTAACCAATTACCTTACACCGGACCGTCTAGAAGTATTGTTGAAATCTGCCTCCTCCACGAACCCCGTCCCCGTAAGTTGAGAATCCAATACCATATCCGGGGGAGGTGTACGTTCGTCTGACCGAGGTAACCCGTGGTCCGTAATAGGTCTGGGGAAGGCTGTACGATCTCCGGACGTAGTAAGAGGAGGGAAATCCTGTGGATCCCCTATAAACTGATGAGGAGCCGCCCCCGGGAATATAATCCCCTGAATCGATATAATCTAAGCCTGAACCACCGGAGCCACGAAGGTAATCTAAGCCTGAATCACCGGAGCCACGAAGGTAATCTAAACCTGAATCACCGGAGCCACGAAGGTAATCGAAGCTTGAACTGCCGGACAAAGATCCAAAGCCAGATTCACCTATGATAGGTCCGCCTCCGAGGAAATAGTCATCTGCGGCACCACTTCCAAATCTGGGTCCACTATCGTAATACCTCTCCCGGTATACCGAACTACCGCCACCAAGGTAAGGTCTATATTCGTCTATGTCTGAATATGGTCCTGGAAGATCCCTATAGGTAGAAGTGGATGACGAAGAGTAAGGTATGAGATTGGTTCTGGTAGATGTGGAAGTTCTTGTGACAACATCTGCCCCGGCGCCAAAATCTCCTGAAAGGCCGACTCCTGCTGACCCAAATCCAGGTCCGTCCAAATCTGAAAGACCCGCGGTTGCTGGTCCAAATCCAGGTCCGTCCAAACCTCCTGAAAGGCCACCACCACCAACTAGTTCTGAAGGGAGTGAAAAACCACCGGATCCATCTGGTCCAAGATCCCCTCCTGGTCCCACTGGCCCTACTCCTGCTCCGGGTCCATCCAGAGGTCCTAAATCGGATCCTGAATCTACTGGTATGGGTGCAATGGATGGACCACCTACGTCAACATCTCTGTATAATTCGTCATAACCAATACTTGGTCGAACACTGGAAGTAGAACTTCGGACAAAGGTTCTCCCTACATCACCTGGAAGATAATCAGGTCCAACTCCATCTGGGATATATCCCACGGGTCCAGCAGGTCCTACTGACCCGCCAGCACCACTGTATAACTCTTGGTATGTGAGACTTGATCCACCAGGTACCGCCGAACTTCTAATAAAGGTGCTGTCTAGCCCAGATCCAATAGGGGAATCTCCAAAGAATACCCCTCCTTGAGAGAGAGATGACCGCCTGATGTTAGCGATGTCGTACACTGAGTAAACTCGAATTCCCCTTGATCGGAGTATTCTGGCCACTAACTCAGAATACTGGTTCTGGTAGCCGGGGACAAACCTTGTACCAAGGTTAATAACTCTTGGAGGGTTACCCAGTGCCGACGCGGCAAGGAGAAGTAGCACACAGAACCGCATATTGGTCGTCTGAAATGATATTAAAAATATAACATTTTTGATTGATTGATTGATTGATTGTTTGATTGTATGATGTTTATCGTCCCCCTCGAGAATTTTTCACTCATATGGAGACGCCACCACTTGTCAGTGGAGAGCTGCAAATTTTTGTACTATGCTCGGTACTCAGGGCCATTGAGCAAGAAGGGATCTTTTTCGTGCCAGCACCTACTGCGACACGGGACCTCGATTTATATGGTCTCATCCGAAGGACCGGTCTCCACGTCCCACAGTGGGATTCGAACCCGCCACGTTAGGATCAACTCGTTAAATTACTTCTAGAACGGACGCTCTAACCACTGCGTCACCACGCCGGCGATTTTTTTTAATACGTTTTCCTATTATGTCACAAATGTAATTTAGTCCCACTATAACCCTGACTTCCGCATCGTGTGACATTACACTCTATGGCTTTCCTGCCATCTTGGGGCAAATATTCTGGTATGTCACCCTCGAGCCATGTGATATATGTATAATGTTATATGTAGTACAAAACATGTTGAAAAAATTCTTGTTCAAAGTTTTGGGTAAGGATCTTCGAAAGTGCACAGTGCAAAACGTGAGATATATATAAACAGAGATAGATATTGGTTACTTGACCTGTATTTTGAAACAAAAAAGTTTTAAAGGGCCAACAAATGTGAGAAGGGATGCCAAGATTTACTGAAGCCATGATGATTCATCATGTAGACAGCCGTACTCGTTAAGTTTTGTTAGAGAAACGATACAGTATGACGGCGCCAGTTGTGTATGATGAGTTAAATTTGATACTGAAACAGAGAATCTTCATCTTCAATTTTTATACCTTTCTTCAATCTCAATCTTAGTCGCCCGCGTGGTTCAGTGGTTAGAGCGTCTGCTGTAGAGTCAGAAGTAAGAATTAATCCTTACATCACGGGTTCGCATTCCACTGTGGGACGTGGAGACGGTCCTTTGGATGACACTGTATAAATCGAGGACCCGTGTCGCAGTAGGTGCTGGCACGAAAAAGATTCATCCCTGCTCAATGGCCCTAAGTGTCGAGTATAGGACAAAATATGCTGCTCTCCATCGGCAAGTAGTGGCGTTTCCATATGAGTGAAAAATTCTCGAGAGGGACGTTGAACAGCATACAAACAAACAAACATCAATCTTAATTTTTAGTTGAATCATATTTTTAGGTTAACGAGATATAGATTTTTTTTTAATTTTTTTTATCCTCTAAGGATTGATGCAAAAACTCTCAGTGTATATAATCCATTCATCCAAAGGTTTGATTGTATATCAGATTCAAGAATTTGTCCTAGGCTTTACTGTTTTATGCCAAGAAACCACTTATAAAAGTTATATATATTTTAAATGTTACACAGAAATCTATGAGGACAACAAATTGAGACTTCATCGCGGGAAAAAAAATACTTTTATTTTTCTAATGAAGGGTAGAGCAAATAATATGTGTGTTATTTTAGGAACACGCAAATTAAACCATAAAAGCATACTCGCTAAAAGTGAAAATAGAACAATTTTCGATTTAAAAAAAATGAAATAATTAAAACTTACCCGGTGCCCTCGAAAATGTGGGATTTCTCGCAGATGTGGACAAAAGATTTTGTTCTTTTGAAAAGGATTTTATATCGCAGCCACGCCCTCTTTCTGGTGACGAAAACGTCAATCATCAGATAGTTACCAATAGAATCGAGGCCTTTTATGTCCATGTTTATTCAAAACAATTTAAATGCATCGGCATTGTCAATTCTTAAAAAAAAAACTCGTTGTCAAATGCGCGATGACCCAAAGATAGTTAATAGAGAAATCCATTATCATGCCTTTTGGCTACAATGCACCAATGAGCAAAAGCCATTGTTACTTTATTTTCAAAGTACTGAGTCTTCATCAATTCATATAGCACTGAATCACTTTCAATTCAGGTAGAAGACGTAAAAGATTTCTTATCCTTCAATTTTGCTCATTAAAATTAATGAAAAGGGTTGATTCTTTTCCTTCATCATAATCCAAGTTTTTTTTATGAATGAAGGAAATGGACAATACGATTGATAGATAAACATTTATTTACATTTATCAACATAAGACCACTATCATATGCTATTGTCGTGTCCCATTTGGGTGACTAAGCTAATTTTTGAATTGCTGCAAATACTAGTAGTCATATTTCAGATTTTATTTGATATAAGATATGCTCTTCATATTTCAAACTGTGCTACTGAGTATGAATGACCTAAGATTTAAATTTCATGACTCTTGAAAAACTTAAAATGATGTGAACCAAAATGGGTCAGCTACCCTATAGTCTTCTTCTAATTTAGTAAGAATCACAAAAATATTAATAATATAGTATCATGCACTTATACATAACTTTTGTTTTTATGCCCCCGGATCGAAAGATCCCGGGGTATTTTGTTTTTGTCCTGTCTGTTTGTCTTTCTGTCTGTCTGTTGTCAACTTTAATCTAGCCCATAAATATTGAGTGGGTGGGGTTATGGATTTTATATTTCACAGCTGTATTCCTTGTGACAAGACCTTTCCATGAGTACCACCAAATTTGACCTCTTGACCTTGGAGTTTGACCTACTTGTACAAAAAATACCACACTTTAACCTTGGCCATAACTTTTGAACAGTCGAAACTAAGGCTTTCATCTTTCACATGTGTATTTATTGTGACAAGACCTTTTAACTGATATAAATATTTTTGACCTTGACTTAAGAGTTTGACCCACTTTTTAAAAACTTTACCCTTGCTCTTGACTTTTGAACAGTTAGAAATAGGGCTTTCAAATTTCACAGGTGTATTTATTGTTACAAGACCTTTTAACTGGTATAAATATTTTTGACCTCGACTTAAGAGTTTGATCCACTTTTTAAAAACTTTACCCTTGCTCTTGACTTTTGAACAGTTAGAAATAGGGCTTTCAAATTTCACAGGTGTATTCCTTGTAACAAGACCTTCCTTGGGATACCAACACTTTTGACCTTGACCTTTGGAGTTTAACATGCATTTGAGAGAATTCAACCCAAGCCATAAACTGCCATACGGGGGCATCATTGTTTCACAAATACATACTGTTTTATTATGCTTTAATAGGGACTTACGAGGGTTGTTAGAAAAGTTCGCGGACACATTGAATTACGGAAAATCTATTGTGTACTGTGAAGTATGACCTATATCTGAATGAATTCCTACATTTTGTTTATTGGTATGTAAAAAATCAGGTCCATATAATAAAATCTTGAAATTTTACAACTTTTTTTACTATGGGGTCATGGGATTCACGGAGCAATCATTTGACGTAAGCGACGTGACAACCAGATTTCAACCCGTTAAGCTTTGTCGCAGTTATATTTATAAATCTTTCATTTCTACTTTAAAATTGAATATCTATATCAAAACATGTTACTTTTCTACTATAATGTTTTTTTGTACTGATTCGTATATTATTGAGATCTTAAAAAAGAAAAAAAAAATCTATGCAGTTAATCGATCAGGTATGGAAACTATGCAAAACCATATAGGCGCAACGCAACTTCCATGCGATAAGGGGGTATTGAAATAACGATGGAGTTAATCATTCAAAATGTCGCCCCTTCCATTCTTATGAAGCTATAACCATTTGAAAACTTGTTCTTTGTATGTGTAGGAAATTCCCGGCAGCATCTTGAACATTTTAATCTCTTTTTAGACATTTTCCTGTCTGCACATATAATTTTTTTACATGTACGTAGTGCAGTGCTCCATGACGCTCAATGACGTTCTGATTTTTGGCTGTCTTTTTACGCGTTGATCATTTATAAACGGCTATAAAACAGTCATATACCATACAATTTAGTTCAAAATTTCTCACGGTGACGTTTTCTGCATTCTTTAGCGGCAGGTAAAATATCATAAATCTCTTTGCGCTACAATTGTGCAATTTTTAATTTTAATAAAGAGTCTTTGTGATGTAAACGTGCCAAAATGTAGCATGCTCCATGAAGCAAGTTTTATCAAAATAAAAATGCTGTATATTTTTCAATAATCACCCAAGAACATCAAATTCTTGTATATTTACTGGAAAAAAGGTAAAGTTCTTATCTGGAAAGTTTGACCGGTTTTGTGGAAATAGCGCTCTCACAATAGAACTTGTCCGCAAACTTTTCTAACACCCCTCGTAGGGCTGTTTCTCAGTCATTGTAGGGCTCTGTTAGCCCTTAGAAGTCACATCTGAAAATGATTTGATACTAGTACTTCACACTTCTTGAACTCACTTTGATAAAAGATAGGAAACCAACATGGATAGTATTTCTATTAAATTTTAGGATCGTTTCACAAAGGCCAATGTCTTTTCATAGTAGCAATAGAGAAAAAAAATGACTGCTTGCTATCTCGTTTCCATTGTGATCTAGAGGTATTGTGAGTACCGAGATCACTAAATTAAAATCCCCGCCTTCCATATGATTATAATGGCAAAAAATAATTAGGAGGTCGCATTTGCATTATGTATATAATAAAGATTCTGTGAAAGTCATTAAATTTTATTCAGTGGTACAGGGTTGCGGTAAGATGGGTACCATTCAATATCATAGAATGAATGGCAGTGTCCATGTTATGAAAACCCAAAATATGTGTCGGATCAAAAAATAAAAAAGAAGTTGCACAATGGCACTATGTAACAAAGATATTGTAAAATTCGCATTAAATTTCATTCTGTTGTATAAGTGGAGTTGCCGATAAGAGATGAGTACCCCAAAGCGTAACAGATGGAAGGACTGACGAACGGCCGGACATTCCTATCACTATATTCCAATCGTGGTTAAGGTCACTCTATTTGTATAGTGAAATTTTCTTTATTTTAAATACTTTAGATCAATGAATAAATCCACTTTCCCCTAGAAAATATGAGGGACTTGGTACTTAATCTAATATTTGCATTGTATTTTAGTCAGTTGTTCTAAATGACTTTGGTTTAGGTCCGTACCTCAAAGGTCACGGTCACTTGGCTATCAGGGTTAAAATTGAAACCAATTATTTAGGCCACAATTGATTAAAAAAAATTGGACACAAAATTTTATGAAATATATTTCTTGCTAAGAAGGTGCATCTTTTATTTGATTTCTGGTCAAAGCATATAGGGGAAGGTCACAGCAGAATTTAAAATAAACTCTCTTTTGGTCCAAGTCATTAACATGTAGTCAGATGCGCTCTGTTTTTTATGAATAATGAATGCTCCACTTTCCGGTTTCATCTCGTTTTAATTGAAAGTAGTTTATTTGAATGAATTATTGAAGATGGGCGGGGTTACATGTAACCTGAATTTTAAGTAGACGTTAAGATTTACATATTTCCCTTCACAAAACGAGTACCAACTTGAACTTCCCCATTGAAAATTAACCCATTTATCATCCTTTATTACGTGTAAGTACATACATGTAAATGATCAATGGGCATGCTGTTATTTGAAAAAGACAGGATAATGAAAAATGAACAATGATGTCTTTCGTACAGTTCAGGAACATTTGCATAATATGTGCTCAGCATTTGAAATTTGAATGATAGGCCGGAAGTCGTACTTCTTAACCCACATCTTATCAACCATACACCCCTTGAACTTTTTCACTTTCATAATTATTTATTTTTTCATACATCATGTGCATACATTATCATTTAAGTGATTTTTTCAAGAATTTTATCAAGATTAAAAAAATACGCTCATACAGATTGAAATATTTGTATCCTAAAATGTAAGATGATTGCTTTTATAATTAAGATACGTGTATCTATGTAGTTGTATGATAATATCAATATACATGTAGCATCTTAAAAATCAGATGCAATTAATTCATTTAATCAAAAGCAGTTTTTGCTAACAGTGGTTGTTTCCAATGTTCTTTATAAGACAACTCCTAATTTCAAACGGGAAACGTTCCATTTATTGAATTCCAACGGTATGATAATCAAGATTTTGTTTTAAAAAATCTCTTTTTTCGTACATTACAGACATATAAGTTTCAATCTATCGGATTTGATCACATGTGTTCAAACGTGCTGTCATATTCTGTGAATGATTTGATACTTCGTGGAATCTCATTATATGCCCGAAGTTAAAATTCGAATTATTCCATTCAGAAGAAACCGTTCTTGCATTATGCAGCAAAAAATCAGCATGTTAATTTACATTTGCTTATATTTGCATTTCCATTTGTTTTTGTTACAATGGAGTGATGTTTATTCATCCTAGAACATGTTTTGTTACAAAATTAATAAAAGAAAGGTGTACGTGATTTAAAAACTTAGCCAGTCTTATTTCAAATGACATGTTCGCCTTTTTCTCTAATCCATCATTTTACAACTTGTGATATGTCTATATATGTATATTTCACGGAACTTTGCTTAAATTAAAGAAGTAATAAAACTAAAGTTTTGTTTTAGCCAATCAGGAAGTGGGCAATAAGAGTTTATCAGAATATTTTGCAGGTTGTAAAATTCGCTTATATTTCCCTCTCGATGTGAGCAAAAGAGGAGAAATTTAAAACTGGACTAATTCAAAAGAATTGTTTCTTAAATACGAAATGTAATGTTTTTGGCGAAGTTAGATTTTGATCAAATTGTTTTCAAAAGTAAACGAGCGAAAATAACCATTCATACAGTACTTGTATCAGTCTCAT